TTACATAATTTCCCCACGATTACACAGCAAATCCATGATTCAAGTCCAGACCCTTGTTTTCCAGAGCCTGCTAGGGGTGGAGAACCTGCGGCTTTGGGGCCACGTGTGGCCTTCCAGGTCTCTGAAGGCAGCCTTTTGACTGAGTCCTAATTTTACAGAACAAATTCTTTTAATAAAGTGATTTGTTCTGTGAAGTTTGGATTCAATTGAGGATCCCCACACTTGGGGATCTGGGGCCACGTGTGGCCTTGAGACCACAGATTCCCTATGAAAAAGTGTGACATTCTCCAGTACTGTAGCCGCATGTGACTATTTAAATTTAAATACATTTAAGAATATAGTTCTCCAGTTACACTAGACACATCTCAGATGTGCCATTGCCACACATGGCCAGTGGCTGTCAGCTCTAGAGCACTCTCTTCCTCTGGGATGATGATTCAGCATCATTACAAAAAGTTTTGTTGGACAGCGCTGCTTATAATAGCACTTCCAGGTTCTATTTCTTACAAAATCTCAGGCTTGAGTTGTATAGCTTTCCCGTATTATCGGTAATAGATGCATGCTGGTGCCATATTGAAATTCCATTTGCACTTGGCCAAGAAGAGTAATGGCAAGCAAAAGGCCAAGAAGCTTGATTCACATTACATTTTCTTGTTTCCCTGGTGCATTACTTCAAATTCACAAAGTTGTCTTCTGTCACCTCTGTTTGGAACTTGCCCCCAAATCCAGGTTGTCCCACAGCTCTCCCTTTACCTCTTTGGGCTATCTGGATCCCCTAGCATGGTCTCCTCGCTAGTGACTTGAACAACTGGTGTTGGCTTCTGAGGTCAGCCCAGCCACAGAGGCCTGTGGACTCTGAGAGTCTCCGGCATGGCCACTAAGTCTCCAGTTCCCTTTCTAGGGTTCTTTCTGTTCACTTCTGTTACATGGTTAGTAAACACCAGACAAAGAAAAGAAGGAGTCGGGGATCCATAGCCTGAACTCCCCAAATGATTAAGTCAAGAAATCTAAAGCCAGGCCTGTAATCCCAGCATCCTGCAAGGCTGAGGTGGGTGGATCACTTGAGCTCAGGAGTTCAAGACCAGCCTGAGCTAGAGTGAGACCCGGGTCTCTAAAAATAGCCCAGGCAAGTGGCAGGTGCTTGTAATCCCAGCTACTCAGGAGGCTGAGGCAAGAGGATCACTTGAGTCCCAGAGTCTGAGGTTGCTATCAGCTGTGACATCACAGCACTCTACAGAGGGTGACAAAGTGAGACTCTGTCTCAAAAAAAAAAAAGTGAAGAAATCTACAAGTTTCTGGAAGCCAATGGGATTAGAGCATACTGCTGTAACATTGCAAATGAATGTATGCCCCTTTCTGTCTCACCACAGAGGAGGCTGGCTCAATATCCTATCCAGTCAATAATTAAAAAAGTCATAGCAGTCATCCACTTCTTGCAAAGCTGCTGAATATCTACAGGGTTTAGTCATACCTGAGCTCCTTGCATCAGAGCCCATGTGAGCCACAGGTAGCACAAAATGTCACAAGATAGCAAGAACACAGAGTTATTTCAGAGGGAAGGAAGGGAGAGCCCTGACTGAACCTCTCTACACACAGAGACAGAGCCCATGCACTTCCAAACTCAGGGGTTTCTGTAGCCCTCCTTGCCACTATGTGGGCTGAGCAACCCCACTTCCACTTCCTTGTCTTGTAAAGTACGGACACATCTGTGCAGAGTCCAGTGCCTAGCACAGATGTGTTAGCTGATGCTATTTTCACCAAATGATTAGGATCACTGGCTTTTCCTCCAAGGGTTTTATAAACCCACCAGCGTTCAAAAGGGATGAGTAGTTGTGTTAAAGAGGGAGTAAAGGCTCAGTTTATCACTGATGTTCATGCCCAAATGTGACCAGTACAATGCTCACAGGATTATAATCTCCCAAGTGCTTAGAGATGATTAAGAGTTGATCTAGCAGAAATGTTCAATCAGCCAAGGGTATTCAGCCACAGAAACTGGATTTTGAAGGAGAGGCAGAATTTCCAGGGTAGAGGAGCTAGATCTCAGAGGACACACAGGATACCCAGAGTGGGATCATGAAGAAAGGGCGTTTCAGACTGGGCAAACCAAGGGGCACAACCACAGAGGGCTGAACACACCAAAGAGATGGGTGTGACTGGAGGTTAGAGTAGATGACACCGTGGAACTCACAGCCTGGCTGCAGAGAGCAAGGGAGGCAGAAAGATGGAGCACCCTGACTGTGGAGCTTACTAGGCTGTATTTTGTATCTCTAATCTGGTGCAAGCCCAGGAGCATTTTCAGGGGGAGGGAACCTGGGCCAACCTGGAGAGCATGGCAGGCGTGGGTGTCCCAGAGTCTAGGGGGATGAGTGTGAGCTGCAGTCCCATGACTTAACTCTGTGAGATTCAGGATAATGTGGAATCAGCCAGTCCAAGAGCTGGTGATCATGCCCAGCAATCAGTGATTTGCTTGCTTATCTGAGATGTTCCATAATTCCAGAGTTAGAGATGGATTTAACTTACATTTAGAAACCTCAAGAAGTTGAACTGTCCCGAACAACCTTTTGTTTGGAGATTGGACCTCGCCCTTGCAGAGTGGTGAGATAAGCAAGTTTTTTCCTAATTAAATAAAATAAAGAAAACAATGAGCATCATCTATAAAGCTCCCAGTCGGTCAGAGTCAAGACTGCACCTCATCCACCTCATGTCTCTTAACTGTTCATTTTTGAACTACGGACTGCTTTCGTCTATGAAGCACCTACTCCCGTCCTGCCCCACTTACATGAGTGCTCAAATAGAGCTGCCCACACCATCGGGGCATCTCCTGCCTCTGGTCATTTCCATGTGCCATCTGCACTTCTTTCTGCCTGATAGACTACTGAGACACTGCGAGCGTGCGTTAATGCTGATGGGGGCCCTGTTTCCTGACCCATCACTAATATCCTACAAGTCACACAAAGCTACCAGGGATTCCTGAGCACAGGCTTAAAACGCCTCGGTTCTCTACACATAAGCCCCATTCATTGCTTTTAGAATGTGTCATCATGGAGCAGGTGTGTAATCAGAACCCAAGTAATATTTGCATGTTGGGATCTTAAAAACTCCAATGTGGCTATAAAATAATGTTTAAAGTTACCAAGGAGCTGGGTATGCAGGTGTAGAGTCGGAAATGGTGGGCATGATGTTTCTGCCCATGTCCCACATGACCTTGCTGCAAGGACAGTTGGAGCTGGATGAAATGACACTGCAGATGGCCACTGAGCTCCGGCTCTGTGCTAATGAGCCACCCCAAGGGGAGGGGCCCTGAGCCCTCTGAAGTCTTTTTCACAAGTACACTGAGTTCACTTGCTAAGATGATTTCATGTTGGTTTTTCTGTTTGTTTCTGTTGTTGTTTGAGTTGGGAGGGTGAGTGAGTGTCATTTCTGAAACTGTCCTGGTTGTTGGTTGTCTTCCTATTCCTATTTTTTAAATATTTTAATTTGTTCTTAAAAATGTGTCTGGCACCCATGTATGCCATGTAAAACCTTGCCTGTAGTTTTCTTAATGGTATATTTTATCAGTTGCTAAAGTTGTTTCTAAACTTGTTTTTTGTATTAGGAGTTAAAGACCTAATACACACACACATGTAAACTACATGTGGGCTCAGGAATAAGGCAAACCTAGGTTCGTACCCTGCTCTGCTACTAACTAGCTGTGTGACTTTGGGCAACTTAGTCAACCTCTCTGGGTCTCAGTCCTTATCTATAAAATGAGGACAATAATTGTCCCTGCTTCATGGAGGACTGTTTATAAAAATGGAATGGAATTAAAAATTTAAAGCACCTGAATCAATACCTGAAGCTTGGCAAATGCTCAATAAATTTAGCGGTGGCGATTTTTATTGTTATTTCCAAAAATGGTTCCAAATATCTACTAGACTTTTATCCATTGGAGAGACTTGCTGACAATAGGCACTTAGTAAGTGTTTATTGCAATGAATTGAAGTGATTCCAACAGTTGCTCCTGCAACTGTTTAGCTTAGATTGGGGGAGCAAGTATTTCCTTTTCCACTGAAGCGTTTGATAGTGGACACTTGAACGCTCACAGCTAGCTCAGTTATCAAAAGCAAGACAGTAAAGACGCTGCTCCGTGTAGAACCACCACCTCCCATCAAGGCAGACTTCCCCCTGCCTCTCCTGGACACCACTGTTGGTAAGCGCTTGACGTGCTCGCAGGGTGCCGGGGCTGTCTCGGCTGCCCATTTGAGTTTTGAAGCTTTCTCTGACACAGATATCAAGCATAAGGTCATTTTAATTGCCTTTGCCTGAAAGAATTGGGTCCTATGTTCAATTCTGGTGAAATCCTTGTCTTATAAAACATGATGGAAAGGGGAGGTCCCATTCTCATATGAATCCCCAAACCTTGGGGCCCTAGTGGGGTGCCGTGTAGTGAGGGCTGCACTTTAGGCCTTGGCAGTTGTGAGATGTACACCTGGCTGTTTGGTTTTGCACTGACCATTTGGTTTTGCAGATTCCTCAGCATGTCTACACACACACCTACAAACCAGTCGAAAGTCATGTGCTATGTTGTGGAGGGTGGTCGGTGGGGCAGGGAGGGCTGGAATTGGTCAAAGTCATTGCCAGTGGACCAGCTGACTTAGCTTTATTCCCATTTTCAACAAGACAATGGTTGTTCAAAGTAGGGATTCTTCATGTGAGATCCACGTATGGGTATTAAATGTTCAGAGGAAAAAAAACTAAAATTAAATGTAAAATGTTGGTGGGCTGGGAAGAGGGAGACACTGTAAGTGCTGCTTCTGTGGAGAGAGACCATAGTTTTTAACTGAGTCTCAAAGGAGTCTGTAACCCTTGCAAGACACGCTAAGACCACAAAGTGTTTGGTTTTGTTTCACCAAACCAGTTGGTGTGTCTACACCCAAATGACCCAGCTAGGCAGGCGGTCAGGGCAGTGGCCAGGTCAGTCAGAAGCATTTTGTGATGGATTGTTCAATCGGTTGTTGTAGACTCATGTAGACAAAGCCTGCAAGCTTGGGGAAGCCAGGCCCCCCCAGGTCAGCCTCGGGCGACAGCCCCCATCCTGCCAGGCCCTGGGGAGTGAGTCCTTCCTGCCCAGCAGCTCCTTTGCTCATGAGCTGGCCCGAGTCACCTCCTCGTACAGCACCTCAGAGGCAGCGCCCTGGGGCAGCTGGGATCCGAAGGCCTGGAGGCAGGTGCCTGCTCCACTACTGCCTAGCTGCGACGCTGCAGGTAAGTCACCTCCCCCTGAGCCTCGCTTTCCTCATCTGTCAACGGGGCGCAGTCCCTGCTCAGCCTGCCCGCCTGCCTCACAGGGTTGTTGGGAGGAACACAGGAGGTGACAGCTCCGAAGGTAAAGCTCTTCCCACCTAGAAGGGAGTTCTAGTGCTTTCTAGCCCTGCTTATTCTCTTTCTCCCTGGCATTCCTTGGCAAAGGGCCAACCCCAGCAAGCAGAGTGCTCCAGGCACCTCGGCGTCACCTCCAGGGACATGAGTAGGGGATGCCCGGGGTGAGCTGCTCCAGCCCTCTGCTGCACGCCTTCCAGCACCCCTTTTGTCATCTGCCTGTCTATTCCTATGGTCAGACCGGAGCCCAAGGGGGACAGGGCCTGTGCTTCACCACCTCCATGTGCCCCACCCAAGGCCTGCCTGCTTGACACCCAGTGGGTGCTGTGGAGCTGCCTCTCTTGCCAGTGATCTGCCTTGGATTCTGCACCCCAGCCAGGAGTCCCGCACCCTAAACATGGGAAAGTGGATTGCCCCACTGGAGGACTGGCAGTGAGGGGGAAGCTGGCAACAGGAGTCTAAGCCAAGCCTGTACAAGAGGGCTGTGAGTTTGGCTTGTCCTCTAGCTTCTAGAGTCTAGAAGGTGTGGCTTGACTTGCCTCAGAGTCTTGTGAGTGGGCCAGAGTGGGCCTTCGCAGAGAATTTCATTTGAATCGTGGAGCCGTTGCTCTGGTGCATGGATGTGCACAGGATGTCTGCCCGATCTGCACAGAAAACTAGAGACATGAACATTTTCTTAGTGATAGTGATCAGAAGATGGTCATCGAGCTGAAAGGGCCTCCCAGGATTCTGGCCTTTAATGGAAATTCTGCCTCGGTGCATATAGCCTTGCTTTCTTTATCCTGCCTGCCCTGGCCGGAAGAATGAGCAGTGCTTTTCCGTTCAAGGGCTATTGATTTTTCTCTCTCCCTCTCAGCCACAGTGCTCCTCAGCTGCTCATTCTTCAGCTGAAACCAAAGCAAGCTTGTCCAGCATAAAACTGCCAGGGAAACAGAATTAGCAACACAGAGAGACGTCGTCCGCTCAGCATGTCACTGTTTCCACCCTGGTCCTCCCTGCCTTTCCCTATCCTCGGAAGCCACAAAGGAGAGGAGCCCAGCTAGCTGGCCCCGAGAATTCCTCTCCCACTCCTTATTGTAGGTCTTCCCAAACCAAAGCCTTCCAGCCAGAGGTGGGGGGCGAGGGGGTAGGGCAGGTTTGTGGCCCAAACATCTTCTCTAAGAACCCTGGAAGTTGGTGCCACCTGGGAGGCTTTCAGGGATGGGCCTTGCATTGACTAAATGCCTTGTTAGTCCAGCCTATGAGTCAGTTTGAGACAGAGGACACAGGCACTGCTGGGGAAGAAGAAAGGGAAACTAGAAAGACCTTTGTTTTCTTTTGCCCAGGGACCATTCCCAGCATTTAAACAGAGCCCTTCCCAGACTCACTAGCCCTGAAACCACCAAGATTGAGGAGGAGTTAGAATAGAGTTTACACAGTCCTAATTCAAGTGGAAAGAGAAAATGGGGGTATAAAGGATGACCTGCACAGATCTCTGCCATTTATATTGTGAGGCTTCCAGTGATACCTTTAGACCAATTCACACCTAATGGCAGCACCATTACTATGGGTGAGGTCCCCAGCTCCTGCACCAGAGATCCAGAGGGCCACAGAAAGACCCCAGCAGGTCAATATCAGTCCAGGTTTTGTAGACAGTGGTGTGACAGGTTTCAGTCCTCCCTCAGGGTCCCAGACCTTGACCTGAGGTTTCTGCCAGTGCCTTCTGGCAGCAGTGTCTGTGTTGCCTCTGTACATGGGTCATGGCCAGCCAGAGCCCATGGGTCTCGGGGGTGCCCACACATCTAGGTATGGGAGCCTTCAGAATGCAGATATTGATTATTAAATGGCTCTCATGTAGTATGCCATCAAAGGAAAAGTCAGACGGTGGGTGAGTTATTTCCAATTCTCTCTTCCAAAACCTAGAAAAAAGGTGCTTTTCCTTGAGGAGTAATAAACAAATCTACAGAGCTCATGAACCATCTGCTGCAGGCTGCCTCTATATGGGGGCACTCATGTAGCAGTGTCTACTGGGCAAGGAGACAGTATTTCCCTAGTGGTGGGGGTTAATCTCCCCCTCTCTTCCCTCTCTGTCCCTTCTCCTTCCTCCTCTCTCGCTCCTCCCATCCCCTTCCTCTCTTCCTCCTTCTCTCTCTCCCTCTCTCTCTCTCTGATTTTTCCTCTATCCCTCCCTCCGTATTTACAAAATAAGGCCTCATTCCCTGCCATCCCTCAGAAGCAATTTCATTTGAACCTCCCTCTAAGTCAGAATGCTGTCCTGCAGGGGACCATGGGGCCAGGAACTTCCATCTGAATCAGGCTGGAATTGAGGAGCCTTTTGTGGGCCTTTACTGCTGATCAAATGCCCTCTGCCTTGCCCCTATTAGATAGTCCATTAGCCTGATTCCATGGTTAAATCAGTGACGAGACGGCTCTTCCCCTGCAGTGGTGACAGATGAGCATTCAGGTGATTGCTTTGGAGTGGACAAGAGACATTAGCATGTGGTGGCTGTTGAAGGTGGTTCAGTGCCCAGCCTAGTTTGCTGCTGGGCCCTTTTCTGAGCACAGTTGTGCCGGCAGGTGGGATTTGTACTGGCCTGGCCTTTTACCTCTCTCCAGCCCGTCAGATGAGAGGAGGGCCCAGTTTTCCATGAGTGCCCAGAGAAAGGAGGGGGTTACAGCTTCCAGAAAGGCAGTCCCAAGACTTTCCAGATTGCCATCTTGGCTAAGACCTGTCTATGAAGGTGGCCCTTTGTCTGAATGGGGCTGGAAGGGAACGTGATGGAGGAAGAACAGGGCCTTAGTTCTCTGGGAGACATCTGGCTGGCTGAAGGCCTGGGCTCACCATGGTGGCCACTATGACAGAAGCACACCTGGGCTCACACAGGGCCCACTTGGCAAGTACCGCTTGTCAGTGTCACCTGGCACAAGAGGACTGAATGCAGTAGTAACTGTGGCCCTAAAAAACAGAATCCATAACTCTGCTTATAAAAACCCACATGGCCTGAGCCATCCTTCATGAGAGGCCAGAAAGCAAGTGTCCCAGCCACTGAGCAGCAACTTTCAGCCATCATTTCCTCCTGGTCACTGAAACCGTTTGTCATTTCCTGTTTTCTCCATTTTCCAACGATTCTAATTGTCAGTGTCAAAAGGCAACAACTGTTTTCTTGGGGCTTATCTTTAGAGCACATTGATTCAGAACAAAGGATGGGAGCCTCCTCTGCAAAACAAAGGAAGCAGCCTCCTGGGGAGGCCTGGAGAGAATGCCATGGCTCTTTTTGCCAGGGACAACATGACAGGATGAAGCAGAGGACTGGCAGTGCCCCTGGACTCCCCAATGAGGGTGAAGAGCCTATGGAAGACCCCTACTGGTGGTACTGGTGGTACTCCAGATGCAGGGGTCCTGCAGAATTGGCCACCAGCACCAGGCTAAACGTCAACAGGGCCATTTGCCTTGACAATTTCTGAGTGATGCCACTGACCAGCCTTTCCCTTGAATGTGGGGTGCTCTGGAGTGTGTGCCTCCTGAGATGAAGACTTGCAGCACCCTCTGAAGCCCACCCAGCCCAGGCTCTCCTTTGGTCTCTGATGCCTCAGGCCTGCCCCCTTCTCTCCATCCCTGTGCACTTGTCTGCCTTTCTCCTGCTTTTCCCTGGGTCACACTCTCTGGCTTCCAGCCTACCCCTGTACAGCTGTGCTATTTGCTGAAGCAAATGGGACAACCAGTGGGGAGGGACTTAGGGTCGGTGAAGACCTGGCCCATTACACAGGCACCTGTGCCCAGAAGCAGTGGAAGCACCCAGTCTGCAGTCAGTGGACTTCCCTAGCCACATCACTTTGGACAAGTCATTTAACCTCTCTAAGCCTCAGATGCACATCAGTAAGCTGGGGACTGTACATCTTTTGCCATGATGTCCTAGGCTGGTGTAAGGCTCAAGGGGCAGAGCAGAAGAGCTGCCTTCAGAAATGGTTACCCACCCTGAGCACCTTGGGCAGGTCCAGGTGGTTTGGCCTTGGGCACTCAAGTGACCCCTGGGTTCCTGGGTGCCCATGTGGGCTGGTGCTACATGACATGGAACACGGGCACAAAGTGCTCAGTATGCTGAGCGCTCATGAAGATGGCCTGCACCCCTACCATGGCCAGATAGCCCCACGGGTGGCTGAGACACAGCCCCCACACCCACACAGCAGCCCCATGGAGAGGATAGGAGGGGAGGGAAGCCGAGGGCTGGGCAGGAAGCAACTAAGGGCGGGGTGGAAAAGCAAAGCCCAGTCCAGCGAAATCGAGTCTGGTGTAGTCTTCCCAGTGCCACGTGTTTGTCCTCTCTGCCTTGGCAGGAACTGAGACCAAGAACTGCAGCCAGGCCTGAGAGCTGGGCACACTCCCAAGCCCAGCCCTCTCCCTCACCCCTCCCACGCCAGCCCCAGAAGCTCAGAGAAGGGTTGCCCAGAAGCCCTTTGCTGGAAAAGCAGGCGCTGCGCAGGCAACCCACATTGCAGAGCCAAGTCTTTCTGGCACCTGGGGGGGGGGACTCAAGGCATGTGCTCCCTGACACACTGCCTTGGTCACTGACAAGGAGACAGTGAGGGCAGCAATGAGCAGAGACACCTGGTTACCCCTAATACATAGGGTGAGGCTTCAAACGCTGGGCTGGGAGTCTGCCCCAGGCCCCAGTCACAACCTGGCACTGACTGGCTGAGGCTCTCAGAGCAAGCCATGTCTTCCCTGGGCCTTGGGGCTTTCATTTGATTCCCTCCTCACTATGTTCTTCCCTGGTGACCCTTGGGCTGATCCCAGACTGAAGCCTTGAAGCCTGGCTCCTCCCCTGCCCACTCCTCCAGCTTTGAGGTGGAGACAGGAAGCTCCTCCCAGTGGCCCAAGTTGCAGCCAGTCAGGAGAAGGGAGGGGGATGTTGGCACTGAGTGTTTGGCTACTCTTGGTGTCCGACAGTGTGTCCACCTGACCATGTGATTATCCAGCCGTTCATGCCAGGACCACCGGGAACGAGGCTCGGTCCTTTACCCACAACAGCCCGGCAGAGCCACACAGCCCAGAGTCTGCTCTGCCCTGGCTTGCTCAGCCACTCTTCCGTAGTTAGAAGTCCAGGCCCAACTCTCATTGCTTAGCCTGCTCTGAACACAGCCTGCCTGGGTCTCCCTGAGATGGGCATATCCAGGCTCCTGTCAGCACTGTGGGCATAGTCTGGCGAAGGCAGAGTAGCATAGGACTGTCGCCTCTTCCTTCTACATACTCTGCTTCTATTAATGCAGCCTAATGTTACATTTGCTCTTTTGGTGACCACATCTCACTGCTGACCCATCCTGAGCAGACAGACATCCCAAATGCCTGAGTCTTTCTTCTGTGTGCTCTTGCTATTAAGCTCTGTCTTTCCTGCCCCATCCTATGCTGTTGCAATTTGTTTTTTTTTTTTAACCCAGGTGCAGAATCCTACTTTTATTTATACCTGTGGAATTTTGCTCAGGAGGGAGGGCATGCATGTGAGTGTGTGTTGGTGTGTTCACTCATGCTTTCTGCTACACCAAAGCCAAGTCCTAGGTCCCCACACAGTGATCCTACCCAAGGCTAATATTTTTCAGAGGCTGTAACCTAATGTGTCCTTTTCATCTTCTGTTTAGCAAGAGAAGCAGAGATCAGGTCTTATGGCAATGACCCCTGAACAGCGGAGTGCATATATCGCCCAACAGATGAGTCAATTTCAAGGTAAGTAGTTAGGTCAGTGTTCCCACGGGGGCATGTCCATGGAGGTAGGTGAGAATTCATGTCAGAGTAAGCAGTTTACTGTCTGTGCTCCTGGAAGCTTTGAGGGAAAGAAGGAAATCTGAAAGTCAGTTAAATAGGACACAGGTTGGATCTCTCACAGTGAAAGCAGTTCATCCAACTCTAAGAGGAGAGTCCCAATGGAAGGCCCAGTCTTAAATGACTCCAGAATCACTGTTTAATTGAAAAAATTGCTTTAACTGAGTCAGGACCCTTAAAGGAGCTATTCTCAATGAGAAAGGACAAGCCCCAGGGTTCTGAGCCTGCCTTTCCCCTCTCCCACACAAATTCTCAACACTGCATTTGGAGTGGATGCTCCACTGCATTTGGAGTGGATCCATCAGGTGTCAGAATGGAAAAGGGCTGGGGAGGCTCTGCTCCAGAAAGCCTGTGTCGGGGGCTTTCAGAGCCTCCACAGATAGCAGGGGTCCCCACCCTTCTGTGGTAGTTATGAATGTAACCAACAACAACAAAAAATGCCAGGCACATGTTCTGCTTCATGGACCTTCCAGCCTAGCCAAGGAGTCCTGAGGTAAGCAATGCTTACAAGCCAGGAGGGTGAGATTGAACAAGGCCAGGGAGCACTTAGAACTGGCCTGGGAGCCCCCACTATTGCTTCCCCGTTCTTATGCAAAAACCCTGGCCTTTTGGGCCTGATGCTAATCCAATCTGTGTGCCACCTCCCCAGGCTGAAGTGGCATATTCGGCACACTTGGCTGCAGGAACAGCACAGGAAAGTTTTGGGATGGCAGGCAGCCTCTGGGGTTTAATCTTCCAAGGCTACATTGCAACCTATTTGAAAAACAGGCTATGATAGTAAAAGAACCTAGGCACAGTTATCAGAGGAAAAACAGGTATTCGTAGTTAAGAGCATACTCTATGGGGGGGGGGCGTCCAATAGACCCAGGCTTATATCCACGCTGCACTGTCCCCTACCTGACCTTGGGTAAACCACATGACTGCTACATGCCTCAGTTTCCACTCCACAAGTACCAGTAATGATAGTCTACAAGAGCTCTTGGCCACAGTAGGCTGCCATGATGACTTGAGGAAATCCATTCCCTACCACAGGCACCTAGGGTCTGCCCTTCTGTCCTCTGCCCTATGTCTCTCCACCCCCAAGCTCTCTGGAATGTGAACTTCTAGAATCCCACTGAAGTTTAACTAGACAAACATTCGAGTCTCAGATGTGGGCTCAGAGGCTGTCTAGGCCGTCTCGGCCATGGGGGTGCAGAGGGGAATGAAACACTGTCCACACTTGTTCTTACCACATTTGCCCTTGTGTGCAGAAGAAGCTGAAAGGCCAAGTTAGCATTCTCCCAAGCCACCCCACCCCTGCCCCTTTCTTCCTTCTGCAAAATATGTACCGTGTGTCAAGGGTTGGACAGGGCACCACGTGCAGAAGCACACACAGACCCGCTCTACCTGCAGAGGCAGACAAATCAGCTGGCACCTCAGGCCAGCGTGGGCTGCTCTTGATAGGGTGTTGGTAAGCACAGACGTGGGGGATCTGTGCAGAAGTCGGGAGGGCAGTCTAGGCCAAGGGCAGAGAAATGAGAGGGGGTGAGAGGAATTGGGTAGCAGGGGAGGCTCAGTAGGGACCCCGAGTAAAGGATGCCTTTAAAACTGATCTCTATTTCTCTCTGCAGCCGTCCAAGAACAAGTCACCTCCAAGTGTAGCCGGACCAAGGCAGCCCCCCCATCCAGCCAGCACATGATGCCACCAAAAACTGGACACCTTCAGAACAATCTAAGTCCAGGAATGATGCCACCAGGCAGGGACCAGAGCCGTCAGGACGTGGGCGTGATTTCACCCACTCCGGGGAAGCAGCACAGAACTTTAAGCCCCAGTACTCAGTCTCCCGTGCCCTCCCGTTTTGGCCAGAACCCCCTGGGAAGACTCGGCTCTGTCTGCCAGCATATGCAGAGTCCCAAGACCAACCCCACAGGAGTGCCCCTGCCTGGGTCCTGTCCCAGCTTCCCAGGCAGCCAGGCCCTGAGTCCCCACCAGCTCAGACAGCCCAGTATGCCAAGAATGCCCACTGTGTTCAACAATGCCACATGGGTCGCTATAGCAGCAGCTGCAACCACAGCAGTTTCAAGGGAACCACACCCAAGCCAAGTAGATAATAGCACTCAGCAGCATTTTGATAGTAGCTCCATCTTTGCCAAGGCTTCTATGAGAGTGCCACCAATAGCCCCAGCATTCCTGTCACAGCAGGCAGTTGTGCCCCCCAATCAGATGGCCCCAGGAGGCAGGCCTGGCCAGAAGGGTGGTCCTGCCCTAGCCAACTCCAGCTTCAAACTGCAGAGCAACCAGAGCCCCAGGCAGAGTCCAGTACGGGGCCCTGTCCCTGTATTGAGCACCACCAGGTCCCTCCAGCAGGGCACGGCCAGCTTCCGTTCCATGAGTCCCATCCAAGGCATCGAGCCACCAAGCTATGTGGCTGCTACTGCTGCTGCTGCCACCGCTGCCGCTGCTGCTTCTGCCATCTCTGCCAGCCAGTTCCCAAGCAGGTTCAATAGAACCTGTACTCCCGCTGAGCTCCGTGCAGGCAACTTTTTGCACCAGCCCCAGCCACCAGCCCCACCCCCACTAAAGGATCTGATGTCACTGCCTGCCTGTAGTGAGGGGGATTTCACTGAAGCCCTCCTCAAAGACTGTAGCATGAGCCCAGGTGAAGACTGGGTATGCAACTTGAGGCTGATCGATGACATTTTGGAACAGCATGCTGCTGCCCAAAATGCCACAGCACAAAATGCTGGCCACCTCACCCAGATTGCTGGGGAGCTTGAAATCTGAACAGGCTGCCCATAGAAGCCCCAACATTGCCATCAGTCTAGGGAGTGACGGGAGCCATAGCAAACCACACCTGGCCCCAGACAGTTGCAGTTGTCTCCTCATTACCATTTGAGTAACATAAGTCCATGCCAATCCCTCTCTTTACCTGTGACAAAATGGAAAGCTGGCGATTTTTCAAGCTACTTGTACATATTTGAAAATTTTGTAAATGGTTTTCCTAAACATTAATAACAGAAGTATTTATACTTCATTTTGTGACTTTGTAAATAAAGTGACGGCTTTTGTTTCAGTAGAGTTGTGTTTATTATGCATTGTTTTGTGTTTATTATACATTGTTACAAATATGCAGACTGTGTTGTTCGCTCCAGTGATACTTGTTAAGCTAGGTGGCTGAGTCCCTTACGGTTTTGATGCAGTGAGCAATGTGGATGTGACCAAGAAGTGTTGCGCAAACTGACAAATGCCAAATAGAAAACCACTTGGCCATTTATTTCCATTTTCACTAAAAATTCTATCGCCTTGTGTGGTTGTTAATCTCTTTTGCAAACCTTTCAGTCTCTGCTAGCTCTTTCTTAATGAGCATTTATAGAAGAAGCTGTTTTGTCCTTAAGTGCCCAAGAGACACTTTACTAAGAGGCTGAGGGAGTCCTTTACATTTGGGAAAGGTGCAGAGACAGCCGTGAGCTGAGCCCTGTCCAAGCAGCCCACCTGGAGGGCCTGGAGTGGCCTCCTACCTTTTATGGTCCAGGCAGAGAGAAGGTGCACGCTTCGCGTGCACCCTGGCAGGACGAAGGTGAGCCGGTGCTGGGGGGAGAGCGTCTCAGTATTTATTCTGATGTAAGACTCTGGTTTGGGGAGAAAATCTGTAAACACTAATAGTTGATTTGGGGCTTGTCTTTGATGGTTTCTCTCTGCAATTATAGTCATGTATATTTAAATGTCTGTTATAGAAAACCCACACCCACTGTCCTGTAAACTTTTCTCAGTGTCCAGACTTTATGTAATCACATTTTAATTGCCACCTCATATTTTGCCTCTACTTTTGAAATTTGGCATCGGTTTCCAGCCAGTGCGTTTTTTCCTTCGTTCTGTAATAAACAGCCAGGAGAAAAGTGCCTCTGTTTTCATTTTTCCAGGGAATACTCAGTACCTACAAAGCACATCCACATAGGCTGCTCCATGTCTTGTGTGTCAGGAAGATGCCCCACCCCGGGGGCAGAGTGGCAGTTTGTATAGGGTGATCTGCAGGACCTTCGCCTCATGGCTCAGAAGCACATTAACTTTGGCCCTAGCCCCTCAGTTTACAGAGGATGCAGCAGAGGGAACAGGTCTGCCCCAGGGGAAGGGCGGGGGAAACTTGTGCTGAGAAGCCAGACTCCCTGCACCACATTCCTGTTTAACACCACACTGCCCTTCTTCAGCCAGACCCTGCCACCTTTGAGCATGGAGGAGAAGTGATGGGAACAGAACTGAGCTCATTACTTTGTCACCTTGCTATCTGTATGTGGCCCCAGAAATCCAGGGAGGTTATGCAGACCACAAACCATAGAAGAGCAGAAAACCTAAACTTCAGGGTTCCTGCAGTTCTGGAAAGAGCCTGACACACCCAATTAAAGATGCAACCCTCCCCATGTAAGAGGCACCCCTGGAGACTGGCTCTGTGGCAGGGTGGAAGGACCCTGGTGCCAGTAGCATGTCTGCTGCATGAGGGAATGAAATACTCTCCCTTCGCAAAGTCAGCCACCCCTGCAGTGTGGGAGCCCAGGAAAGGAGGGTCTGCCGGCCTCCCCTACCCCTGCTGCTGGCCCAAGGCCTGTTCACTGTGAGGGGTGGAACCAGGAGAGCTCAGTGAGCCTGAGGTGTGAGTGTGACAGGTATGAGGGGAAGGTCCAAGAAACCAGTGGAAGGAAAGTGTTTGGGTTCACACAGCTGTCCCACCCTGGAAGTCCCAACCTTGAAATCCTGACCAGCTCCTGATCCTCACTGACCGGGAGGCCTTGGCCTAGCAAGTGGCTTTGCTGCAGGTGGCCATTTCCCAGTTTAAACTGTGTAAAAACAATGGGGACTCCTGGGCACCTCACCCTCAGGGCACATCCATGAAGGCAAGGTGGCTGGCTCCCATGGGGCTTCGAATTGGGCTGTGGTCAGGCCTCCTTTGATAGGGGACCCTAATAAGACAGCTGAGATCTGTCCCTCTCCCATGAGGTGGCCAGGACCTAGAAGGCAGGAAGCAGGACTTCACAGAAGAAGGCACATGTCCCCAAAAGTGAGATACACATACACCCTCTGTGTACTGTCAGGCTGCAGCTAAAGCAATAGTTGAGGTCAGATGTGGTCAAAATTGAACACCCATAAATGGCAGAGAGTGGCTATCCTCATGCTGAAGGCACAGAATGTTCCAGCATGATGACAGCTTCTAGGGGCTGAGGAAGGCGCTTGCTCTAAGGCAGACCTGTCATGTCCAGCAGATCCTGAAAGGCTCTCAGCAGATGCCCACCCAGCACCCTCAACGGCTATGTCTAAGACCGAAAGGGGACGGGATGGAAGCGAAAAGTGTCATTATCCACAAGCCCTGGTTCCCAGCACTTGGCTCATACAGGCCCTCCTGCTTCCTGCTGAGTGTTTCTTGTAGGATGTATATCCCACAAGTGTCCCTCACCAGGCATCATTCCCTGGCTCCCCCTCTGCCTCTATGCCACCTGCCCCTTGCAGGCAGCAGCTGCTTGGGAGGCCTCCGCAGGAGCCAGCCCTGCAGCAGCTCTCTGTGCTCCCCCTGCCTCAGGGGCCACAGCCATGGCAGGTCCCAGGCAGGCCCCACATCTGCCCAAGACCACACCAGCTGTCCTGCCCCCCTCTGTCAGTAAGCTTAGGGGAAGCAGGGCTTGGGCACCAGGAGGCCCATTTGCCCTTCCCTGGCTCTGGGCTGGACCCTCCTGTTCAGCGACAATTGCTCAGAACCTGCCCTTCAGGGTGCAGAAGACTGTGCCCTGTAGACACCTCAGCTCAGTCCTCCCAGGGGGGCCACCTCACCTGCCTGAGAGCCTCATGAGTCACGGTTGTCCCCACTCAACTCTGCCAGCCCTCAGAGACCCAAGACGAAAGTGGAGTTTGACCCACTGAGCTGGTTCCACCTTCCATTCCCCATTCCCCAAGGGTTCACCTTCCCATCCCAACGGCATTCAGGGCAGAGCCAGTGTAGGCTGCCCTACAGGCCAGCTCCCTGAATGCTTCCTGCCACCTGACACCACCGGCCTCACCAGCCCCATCAATACCCTCCCCCAATCCCACCCCGTTCATCCTGGTGGCGGTGGCCCCACCATTCTGCCCTCGCTTAGCCCTCCTCTTGCCTGCACTGTCAGCCTGTGCTCTTCTGAGGACCTCCCACTACTGCTCAGCCCAACTCTAGCTCTCTGCTGCCCTCAACCCTGAGCAGTCTGGCTCCCATCTCGGCTCCTTGCCCAAGTACTCTGGTCAAAGTGCCAACTTCCTCCTGGCCATAAAGCCAAGGAAGCTTTTCCACTCTCAGCAGAATTCCCCCTTCAGAAGCACTAGACTCTTCCCTCCTCCCAGAAACCCACTGCCCCTTGGCTCCCTGGCCCACACTCTGCTGAGACCCTTCTGGCCCTCTGGCCTCTGCCCTGCCCTGAGGCCTGTTCCCTTCTGCCTCTCTGTAAGATGTTACTCCATCCATTACTTCTTCTCAGTCAGCTAGGACTCCCTCATCCTCTTCATGACTTCTGGTTTCTTCCCCTGGCAGGCACATAAATAGTTCACAGCCTGCATCCCAGCATCTCAACATCTTGGCATCCCGGCTGAGAAGAGCATGGTGTGTCTGGTCAAGGCCTTAACCTTCGGTCCCTCCATCCCCCACCCCGTGGAGAGCTGCTAGGCTTTAGGCCCCTTAAAGAAAGGGCAAAGAACTTGGAGCCTTCTCCCCATGGTAGAGTTCACCTTCATCCTATCTTGATGGCAGCCTTGTCTGGGATCCCTCATGAGCCCTGCTTTCTGACTGCAAGTTCTTCCCTGAGAGGACTTTGGGCATAAGGCACCCAGCTGCCCATGGCTCCTGAAGGCCTTTCCATGTGGGGTACAGAAAAACCACAATCACTAGAGGGAAGTACTCCCTCCACAACTTATGCCATCACTCCCTCCAGGAGATAGTGCCAGAAGTTTCTAGGGAGGTATGTGAGACTCCAGGGTCTCTGTCCTCCCTCAGGCAGCCTCAGGGACTTGGGAACCCAAGGTCCACGATCTG